CCCGCGACTTCGTACGCGTGGATCCCGTTTTACCCCCTTCATCTGTCTTACGCAGTTTAGATTTTTTCATACAAATGCTTTTTCCCGCTAACTCCCGTTCCCGCGGGAATTTTGCAATATCCTGTTGTGAATAAGCTTTAAGTTTACTAAGGTACCTGCATGCCAAATTTCAAGCGTCTAACTTAAGCGGTTTAAATTTTTCATAATAAAAGATTTTCCCGCTAATTCCCGTTCCCGTGGGAATTTCGGGAATTCCTTTCTTATTGCACCTCTACGGTACTTAAGCTACGTCCCTTCCAAATTTCAAGTGCCTACGTTTAGCCGTTTAGGCTGTGCGTTGATATGTCAGTCAGTCAGTCAGTTTCTCCTTTTAAACATATATTTAGATAGAGCATATAAAGGGCAATGCCAGATTTTGTATGGAAGGTGGCGTCTTTTTTTTTTCGCGCGGCCATCGACCGAACTTTGTTTTTTGATTACAAAATAGTGTAATAAACCNGAAGTCTAGCTGACGTTTGACGCTCTGCCGTTCATCAGGGGGGGGGGGAGTTGCCAATACTCGCCACGCTTGGCAGGCGGGTTGGCGAGCGCAGTTTTTTATAAGGTTTCGCACGTAGACGCTGCTGCCCATCTCGTGCTACAGGATTTAGTCGCCTCTTACGACACGCCTCCTGTTGGCGGTGGGGAATGGTATTCTTTACGGCCGTCCCCACACGGCACAAGGCAGCAAGGTTCTGGAATGGAGGCCACTTACCGGAAAACGCAGCGTGGGACGTCCACCCACAAGGTGGACCGACGACCTGATAAAGGTAGCGGGAAGGCGCTGGATGCAGGCCGCTACCAACCGTGCGATGTGGAAGTCATTGGAGGAGGCCTATGTTCAGCAGTGGACGTCCTGTGGCTGAAATGATGATGATGATGACGTTTGACGGTCACAAAATTACCCTCCCGTGCCGCTCCCATACCTCAGGCACTGACTGAGTTAAGTATACCTATAGTGATAAAGTTGTTCTTTTTCTTAGTCGGTACACTCTTGTCAGAGTGGTCGTGGTCATCATTGTGAATCACGATTCAGATTGATGTTCCTCGTAATACGGCGCTATTCCTTGCGGACTGCAGCTTTCCGGGTACTTTCGCTAACCGAGCACTTAGTTGCGGCCTTGATCTGGTCCGTCCATCTCATTGTCTACCACGTGGTCCTGTGCCCTCAACTTTTCCCTGCACTACGAGATGCTCTATGGAGTCATTACTGCGCCGAGATGCATGGCCGAAGAAGGTCAAAATGCGTGACTGAACCGTGGGTGATAGGCGCTGTCTGATGCCGAGTTCTTTTAATATGGAGTCATTGCATATTGGTACGAAACTCGGTCCACGACTAGTAAAGTTACGAACTGTTAAAATCCAACGTTATAGCGGGGAAAAGAATCCAAAGGAAAAATAAAACTAGGTAACAAAACGGAATTAACAGGAATATAAACTGGAGTTTAAAGTTAAGTACGGCTATAAAACAACATCAACAACATGTTACAACTGCGTTGTAGTTTCTTTTGTTTATAATAGGAAAAACGCCCTTTGACTTATTTGTGAATGTAAACAGAGTTATTATTATTGTGATTGCATATCTAATTTTTATTTTTATATCTAAACTACTAGTAGTTACTTAGGCAGATTACCAAAGGTAGCAGGAAGACGCTGGATGCGTGTCGTTTCATACCGACCAACCTGGAAATCATTGGGGAAGGCCTATAATAAGTAGTGGACGACGGACGTTCTGTGGCTGAAACGATCAGGATGATCATGAAACAAAGGCACTTCAGACTCCAAGCGCTAATATAAATCAGAAGGTGAACAGTTTCAGTAGTTTAAATATGCTTCTAAGCATATACATATTAGCTCTTGATTGATGTCAAACTTGTGCACCAAAATTGGCTTCAAAGCCTACCCAATTGGATCGGGACTATTCCCACCTCTCGTTCCCACCACTGCAACTCCTGTGTAGCCAGGATCTACAGCTTGACCGCGACAAAATCCAACCAATGAAGGTCAAGTTTGTCCCGGGGGAAAGTTAAGCTGTCATTGGACCCGCAACGAAATTAATCAGAAGAACATAGGAGGAGTTCGAAATTAAGGTGTTGGAATTTGATGTTAGTGGATTTAGCGGAAATCTGACAATAAATTGATTATTAGCTCTAAGACTCTATCTTTGAATGTAATATAAATGCAGCATAAACCAACACAAATGCATAAGGTGTTGTTAGGTACCTACTCCACTTAAAATGCAAATCCTCTTGTAACGTGTTTTCCCAGGTGGGAATTCAATCGACGAAGGAGTGCCAATCTTTTACGTGTAGAATAAAAAAAATACATGACATAGAACTAGAAAGTGTTTGCCTTGTTCTTCAACCTTTTCCTTAAACAGCAAAATAGTCTTTTTGCAGAGGAACTAACAGTTTATTTAACCTAAGCCTAATGATGTGATATCATTCATAAAGACATAAATAGTTTGCACTCGTCACGTATCCAAATGTATCGTCTGGTTGAATGCATTCATCTATAAATACTCATAATAGTTAAAAATTATAATTCTGACTAGCGACACGGCCGATTTGCACTGTCTACTATTTCGTTCGTTCGCTAGTCCGTTTCAGTCAAATGACGTCCACAGCTGGACAAAGGCCTCCCCCAAGGATCTCCACAAAGACCGGTCCTGCGCCGCCGGTATCCAGGCGCCTCCCGCGACCTTCACCAGATCGTTGGTCCACCCATTGGGAGGCCTACCCACACTACGGCTTCCGGCTCGTGGTCGCCACCCGAGAACTTTTCTGCCCCAGCGGCCATCAGCTCTGCGAGCTATGTGCTCCGCCCACTGCCACTAAATTTTAGCGATTCTGGTCACTTTGGTTCTCCTGCGGATCTCCTCATTTCTGATCTATCTACTGTTACTTACTTACCAACAAATGCCTTTAAAAAGAATTTTTAGGGAGAGAAGGAAAATAGTTTATGACCATGAACAAATCATTTGTGAGCACAGCCTTTATCAAAAATTTGCACACTTGCCTCCTACTCATCACACACTAATATATATAATTATGGACCGGTCTTTGTGGAAATCCTTGGGGGAGGCCTTTGTCCAGCAGAGTCATTCGGCTGAAACGAACGAACGAACGAATGTCTTGACTGCATTCTTTGTTGTACAAAAACAATTTAAATAAAAAGTTTTACGTATCAAAGTACAATTTAAAACTAATGCTGGTTCTTATCTACACTCAATTCTATCAAAACCAAGTCAACATCTAACCGTGTAAACTCGCAAATAGCTTGGCCGCCCGCCTAGAGAATCACTAAACCGCTCGCTCTGGCCAAACTACAGCAATTACTGTAGTTTGTGTGAACACGAAGAAAACGCTACTTTCATAGGATTGAAAATGATTGCAGAATTGGGAAACGATTTGATTGGAAGATTTGAGATTCGAATGCAATGATTTGACGTATTCCACTTTGAGCACCCGCCCAAATAGCACCTGCACAAATAGCACCTGGCCTATTCCACTTAGAGCACCTATTGATATTTTGGGAATAGGCCAGGTGTATTCGTGCAGGTGCTATTTGAACGGGTGCTCAAAGTGGAATTCGTCAATAATGATTGAATGATTTTATTCGGCAACCATGGGTGTTGAAAGTAAGAAAGGAAAAATATAATAAGGGAAGAAATAAGTATGCCTATGCGTGTAAGTGTTAGTCAAATCCTCCCTTTTGCCTCTACTTTGCGAACTTAACGAACGTTAAGTTCGCCTTTAAAGGTGACAAAAGGTCTCCATGATCGTTTAACGAATGAGGCTAAAAGGGGCGTGTACGTTACTCCAGCTGGAAAGTAGCTCCTAGAGTGATATGAGTAGAACGTATAATTAGTTCCCAACATGGTGTAAATGTGCGCCGAATTAGAGATTAGTGCGTGCTGTCGTNAACCTAAAGGAATCCATAAAAATAATGTATCCATTTTGTTCATATGAGTAATTTAATATTCATCATTTCAGCCAATGAACGTCCACTGCTGAACATAGGCCTCCCCCAATGATTTTCACAATGGCCGGTTGGTGGCGGCCTGCTTCCAGCGCCTCCATGCTGCCTCTATAAAGTCGTCGGTCCACCTTATGAGTGTGGACGTCCTACGCTGCGCTTTCTGGCACGTGGCCTCCACTCCAACCATCGGCCGTCAGTTCTGCGTACTATGTGCCCTGCCCATTGCCACTTCAGCTTGCTAATCCGTTGGGCTATGTCAGCGACAATTAATATTAGCGTCTGCTTAATAATAAACAGTCATTGCTTTTGTTAAGTTTGCTCTCTTTCTTCAATTGTTTCTAATGTTTTCTAAATATGGAGCACAGCAAAAGGAAAGTAACGGACTCTGTCATGTTCCTTTGTTTCATCAAGTTTCTTAACTTTTAAGTCAAGAATCTTTGTAAACCATAAAAGGATTGAAGTACTGTTACAGGAAGATTAATATGGCTGTAAGGTACAAAAGTGTGTTTTTGTAGGATAGGTATACTCTTTAATACAACGAGTGAATGTAAGAGAAATAAAAGAAAATCTTGCTCTAAATTTAATTTCTTCAAAATCGGAATAAATTCAACGCAATATCAATAAATAAAATAAATATCAGTAACCCTAAACTCAACACATCAAACAAACCAGTGACCTAAAACTGTTGAATTTTCAAATTATTTTTGACCATAGTAGACATTTATGTACTGATGACCGCATTATTTTTTTTAGTGGAACAACTAAATGAAACTGCATTACCATTCTTTCAAATAGTTATCATTTTTGGGATTGCTTTTTTGGGAGGGCTTAGTGTGAGACTGTTTACAGCAAACGTCTTGACTAGTGAGCGCGTAAAAAAATTACAATGTATGACGGATTTTACAGCGCCCCCAGAGGAAACGTTCAAGAACTAAAATTTTCATACATTTTTTTAACGCGCTTTCTAGTGAGGTCGCCCCGACGTTTGATGTAAACTCACACAGCCCTCAGGGAAAAGATAACAAATTAGATTTCGTACTCATAGCGTTACGTCACTAATTTGAGTACACATCATATTAAACAGGTAACTGATTTATCCCTTGATTTTAATCTTCTGTTTCAGTTTTTTTCTTTTTTTCATGCGCCGCCATTAATTTATATTTACATTTCAAAGTCCATCTTTTCTCGACACAATCCATTAAAAAAAATTTAACATGTACTTATTTCTTATAACTAATTAGTATGTTCTTTACTGACACCGTTAGCACCATTCAATTGAATTGAACTGGATAGACTGACACCATTCGAGACTTTGGGTTTCTTTATATAGGTCTTGATGTAGAAGTCTATGAAGAGGATTAGCATGAAGAGGTTCTGGGGCAGGAAGACGGCTGCTGTCCAACGAGGGTAGGCGCAGTCCGGCTTAAAGACTATGAGGCCCATGTGGACCACACACCAGAAGAATTGGACCTGGAAAAACATTTAGCTAAGTAACAAGAATAATAGCTACGTTAATCTCTCTTGTTAATCTAAATAATTATTTTGCTTGTGTTGCGATCACCATTGCACCACAGTTTGTCTAGTGGCGGCCGGGTTTGAACCAGCGTACCTCTGGATTGTACAACGCCCAAATTATGAATTAGGTCAATAGTAAATTCAAGCAACCGTTATTCGAGCATGTACACGTATTTTCGGTCAAAAATTATTCGGGATAAAATCAATCGTAATTTTTTATTTTTTTATTTTATACCTCTGTCATTTGCATATCTTTTGTATTATATTTGTTCAATTATTTTCTATGGGTTTTAGGGTTTAGAAGTTATTTGTTTGGTCAATCGTAATTCGATCATTTATGATTCGGGCCTAAGTTGTACAATCGTTCCTCTGTACTCGAGTTTGCCAGTAAGACATCTTCACCGTTGGGCTATTATTCTATTCCGTACCTACAGTCACCATGGACATTAACTTTGAATTGCAAGGTAACTTTGAAAAACTAAGGGAATAAGGGAAAAATAATACACTATAATAATAATCTATCAACATGGAAAGCATTGGGGGAGGCCTATGTTCAGCAGTGGACGTCCTATGGCTGAAATGATGATGATGATGATAATAATTATATTTTTTTTTCTGTTCAAAGTTACCCAAGGTTAATTGAGTATTTGACACCATTATAGATTTATCAATAGGTATCTCGAAAACAACTTCATTCTGGTAATAAAAACTCTATTATTTTGTAAATCATCTGTAAAAGTTTTTAGTGCGATAAAAATTACGTCAAAATTTAAAGAAGAATCACGTATAGCAGGAAAAACTTACAATTTGGAGTTGTGTGATGTACTTCTTCCACCATAAAGATTTCTTAACAGACGGGTAGGCCACAGTCAGTAAGTAGTAGGAATACATCACAACATGCACGAACGAGTTGATGACACCAACGAGTGTTCCATGGCCGCCTGCAAGTTAAAGATGTATTTTCAGTTACAATCTTCCATAATATAAAAATAAATCTCAAAATGAGTCGGTAAGCGCAAAACTCAACAACACCTGGACCAGTTTTACCAATTCTTTTTAAAATATGTTTGTTGAAGTCCAAGGATGGTTTTTATGGCGTGAAATTTTCGAATAATTTCCGGGAAAATCCTAAAAACAGCCCTTTTCTTTCTCCGATACAAACGTTTTCTAACTAAAATGTAGAGTGAACTTTATTGCTATTCATTAATCTTGGATCTTTGCAAAGGTTTGAAGTCATTTGACCCTAAGGTTAAATTAGCTTACTTAGGGCTGATGTTACCATCGTCGGATAACGTTTAACTAAAGAATAAGTTTAGCACATTGAGAGTTTCAGCATGGGAAAAATGTCTCTTAAATATCTACTGCAGGAGCACAAAACTCTTCGCCTACATTGCTTCAGAATACAATCGTTATAAAAAAACTGAATGTTTTGTATGCCAACCATGACATACCTGGGTAATAGGATACAGCTCCCCATATAAGCATCACCATCCCAGTATGATGGTACACGTGTAGGAAGGATACTTGGTTAAATTTCTTGCGCAGAACAAAAAATACCTGGAAAATACAAACTTTATATTAATGAAATATTCTGTAGCTTATCTTTAAACTTATGTAGGTACAGGGACGAGGGATTCCCTTGGTAAAAAAGCAAGAGTTTGAATTAGTCCGTCAGTTAACTTATTAAGAAATACTCGACACATATTTTTCACTTTTTTAAAGTAATGAAAATTTAAAGAAATATAGCACGCCAAAGTTCAAACGTGTGACGTCAAGGAGTGCTTGAAAGGTGGCACTTCACGCGGAACTTCAACGCATAGCATAACTTCGTAATTATTTGTTTGATTGACAATTAAAAAATTTGTATCCAATTACTAAAACAACTTAAAAGGTTTTTCTTAGGAAACTAGCCTATTGACAAATACAAAAACAACGCATTAGGCTCTACCCAACGGTAATTACGAATTGGGGTAACTCGTTCATTGCAGTCAAATGACGTCCACTGCTGGACAAAGGCCTCCCCTAAGAATTTCCACAACTACTGGTACTGCGGTGCCTGCATCCAGGTACTTCACAAGATCGTTGGTCCACCTAGTGGGAGGTCTGCCCACAGTTCCGATCCGTGCTAGTCACTCGAGAACTTCTCTGCCCTAACGGCCTTATCAGTCCTATTTTAACTCAATGTATAATATTTTTCCTAAAATTAATATTATATTTATTTATTATTAATTTATTAAAACTTACCGTGTCTAAAAGGTCAATAACCTTGAGCAAGAAATACAAGTAGACCAATTTGGCGGCTCTAACAGCTTTTGCACTATTCGAGAAGTCGACCGGCTCACACAGATATCGATACTCCCAAAGCCAGTAATTTATTGACTGAAACAGAGTAAATACAAATGAGTAGGTCATCTTCATAGAAACGGCCTAGCCCGGTTTATATGTGAGCGCGCCAATACGTATGCGGCGCGCACGCACACGCTGACAAAATTTAGCGTTGATTAGCGGTGAGTTGCCCCGAATTTTGTCAGTGTGTGCGTGCGCGCCGCATACGTATAGGCGCGCGCTCACATACAAACCGCGCTGGGTGCGTTTCTATGAAGATGACCTATTCATTTGAATTTACTCTGACTGAAATATCAAAAATTATGTAATAATAACAAAACAAATATCAAAGTGAATAAAAGACTTTTCCCTAAGGTGGTAATACAAAACACTCATAAACGAAATTGAGAAAAAATTGATACATATTTTATGAGGCTCAAGTTAATTGTCATTTTGCTACATTTCTAATGCCCTATTTACAAACGATGCTTGCTTAAGTGTAGTAGAAAATCGATAGCACAGCGTTGAATAGAGATCTCTGTGATTGGTTCGTGTGTACAATGTACATCCTCGCACACTGTGAGACCTCATAGTAATGTTTGTGAATACGGGCGTAAGTTACTTACTAAAAGGACAGCGAAGCGATTATGAAATTAAAACTACCACAAATGTAACATTTATTAGTCAATAACGATTTGCGTCTCTTAAAGTTGCAACTTTTACTAAAGCAAAACTAATTACTTATCCATCAATATCGAATGAAATACAAATTAGCCAATTCAATGCAAATCGAGCCGGAAACTTACACCAAGGAATAGGTACAGGCAGCAAATAACTTGGATTCCGTTGTATACTATTAATATTTTATCAAGGTTGAAAGGTGGGCGGTCTTTCATCCATTTGGGGCCCCAATTCAGGACAAACATGAGGTAGAGTCCAAGAATTATGAGCCCTTGGTAGGGTTTGGCAACGAGGAGCCATGGTTTTGTGCGTGGATCTGAAATTAAAAATATGTATTAGGCCGGCTCCACTAGTTGGCTCCAACATTGGTCCCAACGCCACTTGTCCAGGGTGTGTCTCTAGAATGGTGGTTCCAATGCACCAACGTTGGAGCAAGCTTTGGGAATTGACCGACGCGTGTCGGTTGAATCCTAAATGGTGTAACCAACGTGTGGACGCCTCACGAAAGTACCGACCAACGTTGGCACGGCCATTGGCGGCAACTTGGTGTAAGACAACTGCCAATAATAGTCAATAAGAATTCAATACAATGTAAAGAAAATCTTGTGATGAGTGAGATGAGATGACAAAATAATTTTACTTAGATTTACTAGCTTCTGCTATATCTTTTCTGCAATTGAGTTACGATACAAATGTTGATGAGATGGAACGTTGCTAGCAAACATCGTCTAGGATTCTGAAGTTTTTAAGTTGTATCTTGAAAGTACAAGTACATTAATGATAAAGATCTTTAACTTTATTATTTAACTTTTGTAAAAACTTTGTTAATTGGTGCTTGCTTTAAGTTAATATGTACCTACTTAAGCCGCAAGTAAAAATTGTTGCGCAGTAAAAGTCCGGTACTCAAATACGCATTTTCATCTTTCTTAATGGTCAAACATGCCATAGTTTAGTCCATAACTCCTATTAACAATCGCAAATACCCCAGACGAACCATAGGAAAGGTCTGATTGCGAATTCTAGTGTGGGCCTTTGGTATTTTCTAGGGTAGGACGGGACAGGTAATACAAATTTAAAAGGGTTCTACGCCGTATTGTGTCCCCTGTCCCGTAAGCTAGTTCTATTATGGAACTATTGCTACCGCTGCAACTATTGTGTAGCCAGGATCTACAGCTTGACCGCCAATACCCAACCAGCGAAGGTCAAGTTTGTCCCGGAGAAAGTTAAACAGTCGACATGTAACGGACCCAGTGGGAATCCAGTGGTTGAACTAGGACATTATTAATGGGTTATAATATCTTATAAATATTTTATCATAAACTTACCAGGTAATTCTTCAAACAAAAATGTATACCCTTCCCATGCTTTTAGCAAAATCGCCGCCATGGGGAGTCTTCAAATCTCACTAATACTAATTAAAATTGAACTAATAAATAATATTTATATGAAACCACCTTTTCCTTGTGACTACTTCAATTAAACTAAACTTAGCCAAGGGTCAACATAAGTAATTAGTTAGAATATTCATCAGGAATGAAAGCATTGTCATTGTGAATTAAAACTGGTATAAAATGCTATTTTTTCTACCACCGATACATTGTTTTTATAATACAAGCGAATGCAGAAGGTCCGAACTTTTAAATGTACATTTCATGATTCATTTTAAAAATAGAATAAATTACTTGCCTAGCCCAATCAGAGCCGACCACGACGTTTTTAATTAAATCAACGAGTTTTTAATGGGTGATTGATTAGGTAATACAAAATAACATTCGATAGGTCACCTCTTTAGGGCCGTGACTCTCAAACCTGAGATTGAGTGAGCGCGTTTAAAAAATGTATGAAAATTTTAGTTTTTGAACGTTTCGCAATATGTGCGCCGTACAATCCGTCATACATTTAATGTAATTTTTTGACGTGTTCACTAGTGAGCGCGTTTGATGAAAACTCACACTAGGCCCTCTGTATATCTATGTACGAGTATCTAGAAAAAAAATTTATAAAAAAAAATAAAACCGACTCCAAAAAACCTACACTAAAAAGTTGAAAAATAATTACTAATTACGTACTTATTTATTAGGACGAATTAATATTTATGTAGGTATACCATGAGTGATACTTCTGGAGTCGGTGCCAAGATTATGAAACATGTAAAGTTTGCCTGCACCGACTCCAAAAGTATCAATCATGGTATACCTACATAAATATTAATTCGTCCTAATAAATAAGTAGGTAATTAGTAATTATTTTTCTACTTTTTAGTGTAGGTTTTTTGGAGTCGGTTTTATTTTTTTTTATAAAATTTTACTTATTTCTTGCTTTTTAGTTAACTAATTATTACCTTGATGTTACCACTGAAGGTAGGCAGTACATTGAGACCATATTCTTCATGTCTACTGTAAAATAATATTCCCTACAAAATACAGGTTACCATATAGGAAACCTAAAAATACCTTAAACCGTCAGCCCACCTTAAAAACATGAAAGAATACAACTGTTGGTCTATTTGTAACTATAATATTTAAAGAATTATCTTCCAACTCCTAAGCATTAAGGAGTTGTACCTACCATGACCAGTTCATCATGATGAGATGATGAATATCTGATGTAAACACTTGAATAACTTTAGAAACTATACTTATCTATAAAATTAAAAGAATTATCTTCCAACTCCTAAGCATTAAGGAGTTTTACCTTCTATCATCAGCTCATCAATATGAGATGATGATTTCCAGGAGCAAATACTTGAATAACTTAAGAAAAAGTTTAAAAAACGATATACGTGCCTATAAAATTTGAGGGTTGCCCTCGATTTCCCTAGGATCCCATCATCAGATCCTAACTTGGTGACAATGGGACCACCTCAGAAGTGTACCCTATCGAACAAAAAAATAATTTTGAAAATCGGTCCACAATTGACGGAGTAATCGGTGAACATACATAGAAAAAAAAATACATACAGTCGAACATATAACCTCCTCCTTTTTTGAAGTCGGTTAAAAAGAATACATATCTTAAAACATAGAAATCGCTACAACTACTAAAACTCATAAAACTCGTTTTTTCAAATAGGCTTTTACAAAGGACTTTTACACGTCCCAGTATTAACTCTACCACTGCTTCGGGACAATAAATGGGCCAGTGCTGAGAAGATGCAGCGTAAGAAATACTTCTACAAAAAAATCTTCTAAAAATACTATATTCGAGCTTGTTTTTTTAGATTTCCTGTAGATTCTCACATCACGTATTAAAACGCGAATTAGAAATCCGACTCTACATTGTACTATATTAAAGCTATTTCGTAAAATGGATAAGCACTGAGAATACTGTGTGTTGTTTTTCAATTGTTTCAAACGACAATGAAAGACGAGTGGCATTAACCTTTTCATTTATGCAAATGCGTTTCTATTCTATCCACCGATTGATCGGGTTTTAAGGACCACTTTTTTCTAAAGTATTTAGTTTTGGATTGGAGTTACTCGTATGTAATCTACAGTGTAAAATTTATTTTAAGAGTTGTACAGCTGCTGATATTAGTTTAATTTCATCAAGCATGGTATGCTTGTGTTTTGCTTTATATATGTCACCGTAATATTGTGAATTCCGTCAGATTATAATCTGACGTAGTTAGATTACAATCTAACCTAACCTAACCCACTGTTAGAATAGAATCGAATAGAATAAAATACTTCTATTCATTTTTATTTATTTGTTAGTTTACAATCTCACGCGTTATATTATAAACTGACGGAGTTCACAATTTCGCGTTGACATAATAATATACAAAGCACACAAACATTAATATTAAAGAATAAGAATGTAATTTAGTTCTAATAGAAGTGATTTTTCAAAAGTTAAGTAAGTAATGTTNTGTACTATGTTCCTGTCAACTTTAATCGAGACAAACATAAATGGCAAGCGCTGAGATGAAATGCCGGCACAAACTCACGCTCGTATTTACAAATATTACTATAAGAGCGCGTAGACGCACAGGGTCACCCTGTGCGTTGGTTCGTACCAATCACAGATCTTTATTCAACGCTGTGCGTTGGATTTGCTGCTTCACTTAAGCAAGTATCGTTTGTGAATATGAGTATCAGTCACCACTAGTTTTCTTTTGAAGTCGATCGTAGACCACAACCGTAGTAGTGACTCTACTACCTCTTGTAGTGTATGAAGCAAGCAACTCTACTGGTATCAATGCATTTGTATGAATTCTGCTTGTCGCGACGCAATTTAAAGCATTGTCAACAAGTCTGTCATCGCATATTGACAGATTTTTGCAACAATTATGTTTTTAATTTTTGCAAGTAACTTGCTAGTTTTGCCACTTCTCGATAATGATTGTACCTACTATGATAATGTTTATAAATATCGATTTATTCCATTAATTCCTATTAAACTATAAAAGACATTCGTCAAATTGCGTTCAGCAACTTGCTTTAAATACTTAATGCGTGCAGCATTCTCTCTCTCTAGTAATAGTAGTAGAAGTAGTTGCTCAATAATGGTTGAAGCCAGTTTTGTCGTGTCTCGTCTAGGTGCCCAGTCTTTAGTAAATTTTATACAGTCGATCGTTCGTTCGTTCATTTCAGCCAAATGACGTCCACTGCCGGACAAAGGCCTCCCCCAAGGTTTTCCACAATGAACGGTCTTGTGCTGCCCGCATCCAGGCTCTTCCAGATCTCTTTCTTTACCAGATCATCGGTCCACCTAGTAGGAGGTCTGCCCACGCTACGTCTTCCAGCCCGTGGTCGCCACTCGAGAACTTTTCTGCCCCAACAGCCATCGTCTCTACGAGCTATGTGCCCCGCCCACTGCCAATTGATTTTAGCAATTCTGCGAGCTATATCGGTCCAGTCGATCAGCAAACTAATATCTGACATAAGATAGAACCTACTGTTTAATCCAAGAAATGGGATTATTCTAAGCTTTGTCCGTATCTAATAGTAGGTATGGCATTAATATCGCAACATTGTTTACGGCATATTTGTGTTTCGAGTAAGATAGCCAGTTCTTCTGTAGTTGAGGATTCCGGGTAAAGCTCGCTTCCACCTGCGGCCTGATCATCACTTTTCATCAGGTGAGATGCAGGCCAAGAGCTTCCTCGTAGTGGATAAAAAAGTGCGAATCAATAAAACACGTTAAATATAGAAATACCCTTATATTTCATTTTCTTAATGTATAACAAGTCTTATTTAGTTTGTGTGGGTAGTAGGATATGTTTGTTTTATTGTCCATTTCTCACATTATTATTTACATATTCAATTATTGATAGCTGCATTTAATATTGCATTTACTTACAATATGTAGATGGACAGTGAACATTATTTTTAATCAAGGTAATCTTTCATAAATATCTGCTAGGTACGCATAAAATGGATTACTAATAAAATGTATCAATGCTGTTTTCTTGTAGGTAAATAAGATTTTAGATGTTTAGTTGAAATAATTTCATAAAAATAGTACCTACATACTGTTAAATTTATTAACGCAGGTGGAAACGCAAAAACCAAAATTACTATAACATGAAAGATTTTCTTATATTGCACAGTTAAAAACACCACAAAAATTTTCCAACTAAACCTGAATCTTCTCTAAATGAATAAACTTGACACTCGTCATTGTGTAAATTCTGTACTGCACCATCATCGTATCATAAATTCAAACCTGTATCAAACAAATAAAACAGACAGAGATCCTTAAAATAAATATACTGACCATATTTCATTCTAAAATATTATAAATTGCGATTAATTTCTTAAAAGAATACACAAATGGCACATGATTATTTTTATAAAATCACGAAAAAACTTTAAAACATTTTAGTCGATGAAAATGTACAATTCAAAGAACTCAAAAATAATTGTGAAATCCATTAATAGAAAGGGCATTTTACAACTTGATATACTCGTTCATAATAATAATTCCATTCCAATTAACAACCCAGCAATTGTCATAATTATATTGTAATTCCATTTCAATTTACAATCCAACAGTTTATAATTACCATTCTTCTCGACAAAGAAGAATTTATAATTATTATTATACTTATACCTATTCGCACGCATTTATAATTAATGAACAGATCACCAAGGAAGCGTCTATATTAAACAAAATGTACACGTCATAACCAAGGCTTATAACAAGAACTATCACAATATCTTACAAGTAAATGAACTAACTAGATCACAGCGCAAAGAGAAGAGCCACCACACTACACTGCCGTGCTAGCAATATCGTCAGGAACTCCAATATATTGCTTTAAAAAACTCCTGTCAGCTCATCTGAAATAGAGCTCATCATAGTTTTAGCAAAAAAATGGAGTTACTGCTAATTTGCTAGCACGGCAGCACAGTTCTCCGACCTTATCAGTATCAATAATGTAAGCAGATTTTACTATTTAAAAATCGCAATGACCAACTTGATCCATCATTTATATACTTACAGACATCATTTGCTTATACATAATGGTACTAATAAGGTCGTTCAAATTCTACCAAAAAATGCTTCTAAAGAAATTGTACATTTGGTAACCTAACCACTTAATCCTGTCTCACAAGCGTTATTTACAACAGAGCTTACGGCTGATCTCCCTGAGCTATGCTTAAATTACATCTTACTAATTTATAATATTCGCTAACACTCTTTCGTCTTGCCATTCGCTGTGACTTCCTTTGGTTTTTCAGTGTTGGTAGTAGTATTGTTCTTGACGTAGTTTCTGTAGTAGAAGTTACCGAACATGTACAAGAAGAGACCAGCGTTCAAAGAGAGGAGGAAGTTGATGAACTTCGGGTAGTTGCAATCACAGAACATCACGGTGAAGTTGTGGTAGAAGATTATGCAGAATTGGATCTGAAAAACAAGAACAATCACTTGAGGATTTCTTCAAAGTTAAAAATCACCATTGTTGAATTTCGGCAGTTGGAGGGACGATAAGTAGTTCCTCTATGGTTGAGGATTCCGGGTGAAGTTCACCAAACCTTATAGACTAAAACAACAACAGTTAAATAACAAACAAAATACATACATAGATACTTAGACTCCTGAGTTTATAACATAGGTACAATAAACGAAACTAAATTATTTTTTTTTGCCGACACNGCCGACACAAGGTCATAACATTTTATCCAATTTTACCACTCACAAAAAAATCATCTACGTAAGTATTTTAGACGTATATATTATACTGTTAAAGGATTGATTAGGGAGTATTAGGAGTTCTTCTCGAAGAGTCCTAAGTACGTTTTTAAGCAATTAAGTTTAAAAGAGGTTGCTTACCAACTGCATCGTAGTAAGGTGCCTCTTCCACCAAAGGAATTTCTGGTACTGGGGTCCAAGACCAGAGATCAGGTAGTAGGTGTACATGATGATGTGGATGAAGGAGTTGATCACACCGAGAAGAGTGCCGTGACCACCTGAAACAAAGAAGTATAGATGGATTACTTTTATGATCCACTATGAAGAGGAGGTTCTATTCTCAGATGGATCATAAGTAGTGTGAGGTTTCCTGATTATTACTTTCCCAGTTTAGTTAAGTTGAATCAATCAGTTTATCCCTAAAATAATATTCAATGCTTCAGATCCGCTCTACTATTAATTCTATTGTAATATTTACATTTATGTGATTATGAATTTATAACTTTACTGTTGTGATGATCTCAACCATAAAGATTTCCCTAACTTTGTTTAAGTTCTGATTAACATTTCCTTTACATCATTATAGCTATTAGTGGATGTAAAGTGTTTGTACTAAAAAAGTGGGAATTTTGCCAGTGTACGAGTATGTAAATAAACCTTTTATCATTGAGTTATAATGTACTACGTAGTAATATTACTTCAATGCCTTTTATGTGGAAATTAGTTTCATGATAATAGAAACACGATTTGTGTCAGCAAACATAGTATCGGTTTCTTTATTTGCGCTTTAATCATGACCATTATTTTTGTTCATGCCATCTTCATATCTAAGATTCGCAATATTTTTAATAGGTATTAATTAGTAAAATGTAATTGAAGTTTTTCATCCTACCAATTCTAGGTATACCAAGTTATGCATTAAGTGCTTTTTTCAAATCAATTTTACTCGTTAATTGTTGCATCTGTTGTAGCTAATAGAATACGTAATTTAACAAATTATTACCTTCATTGTAGCAATAAAAATACACATTATAATAGTTAGCAGTAAACAAGTTTTATAACTGGGTAAATCATCCACAACTGACAGTTAACCGGGTGGCAATAAGTATGTGTTTAGGTGCGATAAATTGCAGTACTTTGTTGAGGATAATTTAGATCATTATCTATGCTTGCATTGGATTTATGGTATTTGAAATTAATATACTAGTAGCATTTCTTTGTTGTCGTGTTGGTTAGCATTTCCATTTGCATTGGTAAAGAAAATCCTCAAAATATTTTGGAAAATACTTTGTCTCCTCATTCTATCACAATCTATTCTCAGCTCTCGTTCCCACCGCTGTAACTCCTCAAACGACCGCCAACAAAAACCCAAGCAGTGAAGGTCAAGTTTGTCCCGGGGGAAAGTTGAACTGTTATGTCCGTTCGTTCGTTTCAGCCGAAAGACGTCCACTGCTGGAGAAAGGCCTCCCCCAAGGATTTCCACAAATTAATTTTCAAAAATAGCTAATGTATGTGAGATAAATTTGTGAGTTCGTCACAAATAACCGGCTGCCAACCGCATCCTAAGAATCTCGAATCAGCAGTCCGATGCTGATACAGATTTTCTACGATTTTGTAAAATTAGTATGTAGTCTTACCAGGCAAGAACTTGACTCCGATCCAGGCACAGATGGGCATCATGAAGTGGTGGTACAGGTGAAGGAAGGAAATCTGCCTGTTCTTCTTCCTAAGCACGAAGAATACAGTGTCGAGCAGCTCAATGATTTTCGCCATGTAGTACCACCATACAGCTGCCGCCATCTGAGGAAAAATTTATTTANTATTTAAGTAAAGTAAATAAATACGAGTATTATAGGATTCTTACTGTTTGTTGTTTACATAACAGGGAAAAATACTCCGTATTCTTAAATTTGTTCTTTTGTATACTGAAGTATGTTAACAGGGCAATAAGTAAGAGGTGAAAATAGTAAAACAATAGCAGATGAAAGATGTTAGACAAACTAAAATCGTCGTAAATCTAGGTCTATTTTTTATCACAAATACGTTATAAGATCAATGAGCTAGCCGAATTGATTGTTTGGAATAGATATTAAAATTAAATAGAGACCGATGTCATTATTTTTAAGGTAATTGTTCGTATTGGCCGCTGCGATACAAGCTTTCCTGCATAGTGCAGATACCGCCAGAATAAATTGTACAATGTGACATCTTTTAGTACCTAATAGGTAAATACTTTTTTACTTTTTTTTACTTACTCTGTAGGCCTTTGGATTGTCTGAGTAGTCCACTGGTTGGCAAGAGAAGTTGTAGTCGTTCCACCAGCCGGAGACCAAACCCTGTAAAAGAAAATAGGTAAAAAATAACATAAATGCTCCAAGAAGATGTAATTCTAAATAATGTAATTGATTTGCCAGTTATTAGGTACTGGTTTCATTATAAAATATGCTAGAATTAAAAAAATGTGTGACTTTTGCATGTTACATCCTTGTCTCAGAACCTAGCATTAGCAGCGCTTTGAGATAAACATTTGCCAAGAGCGTCTAGAAGAATCACCACTTCCAGTTAAAAAAATAATGAGATGTAACAGTTAGTCCATATAATATTGATTTAGAAGCAGTTCTTCGAACTCGATACGTATAATATTGTCGGTCAATCTATAAGACCAGTCTCATTTTCAAAAATTTGGTGAAAAGTAGGTATTTGACAACTATTGAACCTGATAATAAGGGTAGATGTTAAATAAAACCATTTTTTAAAATGCGTATTATTATTACTATTATGTAGCAATAATGTAGAGTCGTACGAATATTTAAACTAACTAATTATTTTGGTGATAGCAGTGGTGGTACCTATTTTTGTTTTATTTTTCATCATCATACACAATCAAACCCATGCATCTTATCGTAGGTCATGGATGTATTGTTGACATTAATTATTTTCTAGTTAAACGAGATATGATGTCAGTCAGTACGTCTATACTCGTAATACATTTAACGAGCAAATCAAATAAAAAAACAGCTAACAACGTCTATTACCGCCCGTTTGTATGTTCAGCATTGTTAAACACATAATAACCTGTTTTTATTTGTTCAACAAAACCTTTTTTTGCAAAGGGCGTAAGTTAAGGCGTATAAGGATTTTTTCTTTTCAATCAAACAAAGCCAAAAATTTAGTTGATATTCCTCCAATATGATATTTACTATAACTTAATGTGTTTGCTAATAAAACCACAACAAAATGTAGTAGGAGGACACAAGGTTAATTTAATTCTTTTCAGTTTATACAATAATGCGCAGTCTTCAAAAATATTTTCGCGTTTGGAGAAAATCACGTTTCTCAACCAACTTTGGCTTTGATAACCAAAAAGGCACAGAAAAGGCCTATGACTGAAAGTACTTTTTTGGCACCGGCTGCCGAGTATTTTTTTTTTCAACTTTTATTAGCACTCCAAGAAATTAGACGAATAAATCAATCAAAAGAAAATTTTGGTCAAAGTCAGAGTCACCAATTAGTTTTATAAGTACCGTAGAGAGTACATCAGACGTTTAGTTACAAAATAGCCCCTAACAAAGTCATATAAGGTNTATATAAGGTGTTGTTTAGATTGATACATGCTGTTGAATTTACACAGATTCACGCATATGACGTTCACACTCAAGCAAACATTTGCGTTCAATATTGGTACTTTCAATTTATACAAAAAACTTCATGATATGAAGACATGCGTACTTTGACCCGGATATAAATTTTAACACAATAAAGTTGGCTTCAAGGTATCTCAAACTGAATCAAAGGATATAAAACATCAATATATTTGGTTTTTATTACAACTTCCGAATCTAAATATATAAAAGGAGAAACTGACTGACTGACAGATCAACGCACAGCCTAAACGGCTAAACGTAGGCACTTGAAATTTGGAAGGGACGTAGCTTAGGTACCGTAGAGGTGCACTAAGAAAGGAATTCCCGAAATTCCCACGGGAACGGGAATTAGCGGGAAAAACAGGATTCACGCGTACGAAGTCGCGGGCGGCCGCTAGTAACATATGTAGGAAGTATCTCTGTGAAACAATATACTTTGTCTCTTTTGGATTGTTATGACGAAATTATACAACAATTGGGTTTCTGCTCCGAATCACTTTAGCCACAAGGATTTGGAATAAAAGGCTTAGGCTGGGTTGCACCATCTTACTTTAACTGTGACAAACGTCAAAAATCTGTCAAACTCCATACAAAAATCACCGGTTATAGTCATAGTTACCATCAAAATTACGTGGTACAACCCACCCTTAATATGGCAATTTAACGGTCCCAAACCCTTTTAAGTAAATATTGTTCTTTATCTTTTCAACCAAATATTATTTTGCGTTGAATGTTAACTTAAGTTAAATTGTAGGTAATATTGAAATCCTGACGGAAACATAACCCTACAAATTCTTTCAGAGGCAGACAAAATTATACTAAAAGATTATTTATTCATAAATGTTTTTCACATAGAAAACCCTAAAAATTACTTGTGAAGACATGGGATTTTAGGCATATTTGTATTATTACCGTAACGAGCCGTTAAAAAGCCAAATCATCTCTCATGGTTTCTGTATTATCATAGACCGATTATTGCTTAATTTCATTCATTATTTCAATTGCCAATCGATGTTCCATACCTGACCTCGGCATTACTGTATAGACATGAACGATCTTGACACATTCATCCAAGGGCAATGTGATCAGCACCATCTTATTATCTAACTATTACGGTTCACTTTCTGCGTGAGGTGGTAATAACGATGGTGTTTCCTCAAAGAATGATCTTGGTCTTGGTTCTGCTCACGTATTCGATTTAGATGTGATTAATTTTGTATTATTGGGACTTACAATGTATGTGAATTAGTTCCTGATTAGGTAGATGATGAAGAACTATCTGATATAAATTATTAGTTTAGATTTCAAAAGCAATAGTCATCTCTTTTACTCTACGGGAAGTAAATAGAAGGGAAAGCAAACCCCCAATGTGCCTTTCATAATAGCGTAAACTCAATTCAATTTGTATTTCAGAGTTGTCAACTGGTCACAAGCGTAATGAGGGCTATCGTTTTTATACTTAACAGTTGGCACCCCTGGCGATTGACAGGACCTTACTCTACAGTGGCGCCATCTTGATGAGTGCAAATGCGATAGTCCTCCTACCACTTTAGCGCTAACCAATTGGTGCCACTGTCTTCGCTACTAGCAAGTGACAGGACCTTACTCTACAGTGGCGCTAACTGGTGAGCGCTAAAACGATAGGCCTCATTATGGTTCTGACGACAATGTCCTAGTATTAATGAATAAGACTAAGGTAATTAACACTAGAACATGGTTCTTTTCTAGTGCTGGGATATTTTAACCTTGGTTCCAAAGACATGGTTAACCTTCCAAGCTAAGGTTATAAATGTAAAAGTGTATTCTCATCTTTATGTGGCATGTGCGAGAAATTAATATTAGGCCTGAATCTGTTTTCAAACTCTATACTTTGTCGACAATAAGGCAATTTTCTCAAAAATAAATGGTGATAATATTGACTTCAATAATTTGCAATCAAAGTTGGTTACTAAAATTATTAGAGACATGATAGTTCAGCGTCAATTCTATTCGGCTTTTTTGCAAGATTCTCAATTTTTATTATCTATATTGACTACCTATAAGGTTTTTTATTATTTTTGAATCGTTTCAGACTTATGTGCAAATATCATAAAAACTTGCTCATTATGGCCAAAATGATTAAATCCACATTAACATTTGTGCGTTATCTATTCACACTTAAATCATAGAACCTATTTAAGCGCCATTAACTCCCGTATTCACAAACGACGCTTGCATAAGTGAAGCAGAATAGAGCTCTGTGATTGGTTCATGTGTCACCCTGTGCGTGCACGCGCACTGTGAGACCTCATAGTAATTTTGTGAATACGGGCGTTTTTCTGTGACCTTCATACGGGCGAAGTCGCGGGATAAAGCTAGTATACAATGCAATACACACCTCATAAACCAAGAAGATGCTCAGCAGTATTTGCGAGATGTTGTACACTATCATGATGTTCTTCAAGTTGTAAGGTTTGCGGTCCCTCATGTAGCGAGGGCCGACTGAAGTACAGAAATACAGGTACGAAGCCAGGATCGTCAGCAGCGGGCCCAGGCCTGACACTAGCAGCCATGATTCTGTCCTGGGATCTGGAATGATGAGAATGATCATTATAGTTACAGCTTTAAGACTCCTGCAGCAACAGCCCACATTCACATTGACCAACAAAAATGGTAACCAAATAGAAACTTGGAAACTGACAAAGGTGACTGACTTTCTCAGCACTATTTAGGATTTAAGGTTTATTTGGCATATTTTACGGTGCACTGAAAAGGGCCTACGTGGTAATTAATTTTTCATTTTCGAATGGATTTCGGCAAGGTGACCGAAAGATAATGAAAATCACAGCTTGGTCACCGCAGTGAAACCCAAAGGCACACAAGTTCTGTCTCTTTGAATCTGAAAGAATTTGAAAGAGAATCTCATGGTAGCAGATGCTATTAATACAAATCCTGTACAACAGTCTGTAAAGACTGTTTTACCTGAACTTTTATCGATAATCTGTTTATACAATTGCGAAATGATAAAATGGCAGATTGGCCTTTTACCACAGAATAATAATATCACGCCTAGTCTACGAATTCAGTTTTAAGATTTATTTCAAGCATTTTGTAAAAGAAAACCATGACCTTTTGAGATTTATTTGCCAATATATCATGTTGTTTGATTTTGAANTTTTTCTAGTTAATATCCATAAATACCTGTGCAATATGAAAAAAATAACACAAAAAATCGTGAGAACAAACAATTTCGGAGAAGTATCAATGGTCGTAATTATAATGTTTTACCTCAACCATAGTGTTTTGTATGGTGTCCATTACGGCAGTTATGAAATCATAGACAATCAGGAAACATTGTAGAGCGAGGAAATAGACACTCAGATTCGAGTTAAAGTACGAGTAATTACAGATGTTTGTCTGAAGGTGATGACTAGGCAAATTGGATAGGGTGTGTATTCTTAGAAAATTACTTATTGTTGTTAAATTTTTAACTTCAGTAAAGCCTTATAACTAAAAATGACAAAATTACTCATAGTTAACAAATTACAATTACTTTACAATAAAATGAAAGCCTGGAATTGGTTTAAATATTGCAGTCCAAACAATAAGGTACAATCTAAAATCTCTAAGTTTCAGGTTCACGAATTTTTAAGTTCAGTTCAGGCAGGTTTCAATCAAGACAGATTCAAGAAGTTTCAATTTCAATTAATGCTGATTCACTGAATTTATACAGGAATTCTATCACTGGACCAAACCTATGACTGGAAATAAATCGTTGTTTTGTATTACGGATTTAAAAATGTTCTGGTTTTGGAAATAAGCCTGAAATTCAACATAATTTTATATCTTTTCGTAAAAAGCAACCTTTCTAAACTAAATAAAGAGGAAATATTTGATTGTTTCTTTTTATAGAATAGGCTCCGAAACTACTGGATCGCTTTGAAAAATTGTTTCACAATTAGAATTCTATATTATCCCTGATGAACATATTAAGCTATGACGTAATATGGATGGATAACGTCATTTTGTGACAGACCGAAATTCGTTCGTTCGTTCGTTTCAGCCAAATGACGTCCACTGCTGGACAAAGGCCTCCCCCAAGGTTTTCCACAATGAACGGTCCTGCGCTGCCCGCATCCAGGCTCTTCCCGCGATCTTTACCAGATCGTCGGTCCACCTAGTAGGAGGCCTGCCCGCGCTACGTCTTCCAGCCCGTGGTCGCCACTCGAGAACTTTCCTGCCCCAACGGCCATCGTCTCTACGAGCTATGTGCCCCGCCCACTGCCACTTGATTTTAGCAATTCTGACAAACCGAAATAAACGCGGGCGAAGCCGCGGATAAAAGCTAGTTTTTTAAAATATAATATCAAGTCACCCTGTATCTGCACCACTCATTAATATGTCCATTCGACTCAAAGCGTATTAATTAGCCACACAATGTATTGCATTCAATCAATTAATGCCTCGTTGGTTGTGCAATAAATTATGCAGTACAACAATGGAACGTGTAAACTAAGCACCTGTTACAATTGCATTATTAACAGGTGATTATGATCTTAAAATATGTACATTTAAGTTGCATTTTTGGATGAAATAATACTTTAAAAAAAATTAACTAAAAAGATAAAAACAAGCCTTAGGAGGCATCAATGACAAATTTTTTTGTTGGTGATATGTCTGCCTATATGATGCCTTCGACTGCATTTGTGAACACTAAGGCTTGTTTTTATCTTTTTAGTTAATTTTTACGCAGTTGGGTTTTTTGTTTATTCAATAATAATTTTATTTTAATCTTTTAGTTATTTATTAGTTTAATTTTTTTTAAGACACATCCGCCATTTTGTTTTTTTTTCCAATTTTAATATAGCCAGTGTTACTTTCACGATTAAGGCGAATCTAACGACACCTTCCACGCTAAAATCGGTCAAGCCGTTTAGGCTGTAGGCCGTGCCAAAGAAATATACATACATACACTCGAAAAACATAACCCTCCTTCTGGCGCAGTCGGGTAAAAAGGCAGTGACCGCAATAATAGCACTTAGTAAATGCAGATGAGTTTAAGTGTCCATTCATGGTTGCCTTGAAAAGGCCTAGGTCATAGAGTGGAAGACATCAATTAACGTTACGAGTAAGTATGTAGGCATCTTATTGCTGTTAGGTGACTCAAATATGCAAACACTTAGATAATGAAAAACTCAGATTAACGAATTACCGTTTGAATTAATGCTATCAATAATTAATTACACGTTTGTAATTTTTATAAAATAGACTAAATAAATGAGACTAGTTTTTATCTTGGGGAAGGTCTTTGTCTAGCAGTGGACGTCATTTGGTTGAAGACAACAAACGAGCTTTTAACTAAAATTGCAGATTTTTCATAAATGGGCAACGTCGATATATTTTTTTTCGCGTTTTACCATCCAGATACATTTTTGTGTTTTGCAAAAATATACCTGGAGACAATAATGGAATGTTAACATCCATCAAACTTAGTTATTACGTATCAAGTATTCGATAACAATGAAAAATGCGGAAGTTTAGCTTATTACAATAATAACCATCTTTATGTGCGCGCGCACGGCTTGCTCATGCTATACGTTTGCTTTGCGTGTTTGTTTATTTTGCATTGATAACGATTAAAAACCTGCCCGGCTAGGATATATTCTTATGGATCACTTCAGACGACTAATGTATGGGCTTATCGCGTAAAATCGATAAAAATTAATTAATTGTCAAAGATTTACCAATAACATTTTATGATTTCACATGCATCGTTACATTATAGGAAACGGAGCGATAAAAACATGACGCGGCGCGAATCCTTTTTATTCTTAATTTTGTCAGGAAATTCATGAAACTGCACCCACTGCCCCAGGGGAACCAGTGGGTTATGTTACATAACCCAGGCAAGGAGGGCTTACATAACTTATGTAAGCTCTCCCTGCCAAAAGGCAGGGCCTACTCACTAAAATCTGAAGATGTAATCTAAGGTCTACTAGTACACCTAGACAGAGCAACAAAACGAGTACGAAAACGAATGTAAGTGGTTAACTTTCGAGACACAAAAGAGATGGGGGTTCGTTGTCCGCAAAAGACAGACGTTTGTGTCATAAGCAGTGATCGGATAATCGAATGTAGGTATATTTACTTACTTAAAGTATATTTTCGATCACTGTTCATAAGTCGCCGCTGCTGGGGCGCTGGCTTAGCTTGCACGTCTCCAGTGCTATGTAAGCGGCTTCATATTCATTATTTGTATCTTACTAACATAGGCTAAGTAAAAATTGTTACTAACACGATTATGGACCCCTGTCTGGCAATAAATTTTTTCAATTTCAATTTCAATAAGTCGTCAATTGACACACTGTTATTAAAACCTGCCTTCTAATTAGTAAGCAATAATAAGTAGCACGAACAACTTAGTTAAATAAATGGTGGCTTAAATAAATATTTGATAAAAACATAACGAGAGATGTCCATTAGATACTTAATGTAGTTTTTATTGTAAATACTCACAATGCCAATATGACTACTTGTCGCTGTCAAGGATACGATTCAAACTGAGACTATGCAGCAAATAACTACAATAATTATGCAAGATAATGTACAAATTAATATTAAATTAGTCATTCCTTTTATTATTATGATTATGAAATATTTCTTATTAAATAAATTATACTTATCATATGAATCAGATGTTACACTCGAAGCTTATACATTACCAATCAAATAGAGCTACATTACTAAATAAGGCCGACTACTAGATAGTTCCCATAACACATAAAAAAATTAGACTTCTGAATAAAAAAAATATATTTACATACAACATAATACCATACTTTAGTTCATTTGATTAGGTTGCAAGTCACATTTGAGTATGATTTCATCGCGAACCGCTTACATGTAATCATGTTTTATTTTAAATTAACGTCTTATTTATCGATAAAAATAATCACAGCTCTATCGACCCACCACAGTGCTCTTTTTGTAATTCTAAACACGCACAAAAAGTAGTAGAAGACGCAGTAAATTATGATGTATGTACTGAACCGTACATGACTCCGGATATAAAATCTTCATCATCAAGTTTTGAAGTCTGGAACGCAAATCACTGGGAGAGTCGATCGTCAATTATTATTTTTATTTCATTCTTTATCATCTGCAGGGCTAAGATGCTACCATAGAAAAATCTTGTCGACGATTTTAGATGACAAATGTATGGGCTAATCATGCAATATCGATAAACCTAAAAACTTTTATCGAGCAAAGTTTTNTTTCTATCTTTTTTAAAGTATACGAGTATTCTAAGCACTATAACCTTATGCACATTAAATGTTACTCCAGAAAAAATAACGCATCGTTTGATATACAAACCGTTTTGATACGCCTCGTAGTTTAGAATTATTCAAAATTGACACTAAATCTCTTCTCCTGTAAAATTGTGTTTTGTCGATTGCGGCTTTATTCCCGGCACCCATCGATTTGTAATTTCGTTCGTTTCAGCCACTGCTGGACAAAGGCCTCCCCCAAAGATCTCCATAACGACCGATCCACTATCTTACACTAATTTATTTTATAAATACATTTTC